GTCTGTACATTTGACAGCTTTGCTGCCTTGTTAGACATTTTGAATTGATATAATGACTAAATGTAACAAAAAGACATTCACACCTTGAAATTAGAATACCCAAGTTGAATAAGAAATGTTTACTATTTTCAAATGTTCACCGGACACCTTATTATGTTTTACTATTGATATTTTATTATTAATATTATATATTATTATTATTATAAAATATTGTTTTAATGTTACAAAATGTTAATCAATGTTCATAATGTTTATCATTAAAGGTCTTCTATGAAGAAGAGCTGGATGTCCCACTGGTCCTGTTCAACGAGGTACTGGACCATGTCCTGCGTATTGACCGTATCTTCCGCCAGCCTCAGGGGCACCTGCTGCTGATTGGTGTCAGTGGCTCTGGGAAGACCACGCTGTCCAGGTTTGTGGCCTGGCTCAATGGACTCAGTGTGTTCCAGATCAAAGTGCACAACAAGTACACTGGAGCTGATTTTGATGAGGATCTGAGAGCTGTGCTCAGGAGATCTGGGTGCAAGGTAAAAGTGTTAAACCTTTATATTGCAAAAAAAAAATAAATAAATAAATAAATAAATAAATAAATAAATAAATAAATAAATAATAATAATAATAAAAAAAATCCTGGAAATTTCAACAATTTGCCATTAGTCATCAAGTTATACTCCATCCAAAACTGTAAATCGACATTTACCATTCTCTAGTACTTTATTTATGGTTTTACTGCTGTTAACAAAATACATTTGTCACCATCTCAGGCCAGATGAACTGAAGTAATTCAAATGGGAATTTTTTGATACCTCTTAAAAACTGTTATTATAAATACAGGGATTTATACTATGTTATGAATACAATATATGAAAACAAATGGTAAAATGTCTCAAATACTGGTATTATACTAACACTTGGTCTGTCTTCTAGGGAGAGAAGATCACGTTCATCATGGACGAGTCTAATGTCTTGGACTCTGGGTTCCTGGAGAGAATGAACACCCTGCTGGCCAATGGAGAGGTCCCTGGGCTGTTTGAGGGGGATGAGTACACCACCCTGATGACCCAGTGTAAGGAGGGGGCTCAGAGGGAGGGGCTCATGCTGGACACCAGTGAAGAGCTCTACAAGTGGTTCACACAGCAGGTTAGAACATCAAATGTCTAAGGGGATTTGTCTGTGTTATTTTTGTGTTCCTAGTTCTGAAATGCTTTTTTTTAATTGATTATTGAAATATTTTTTATGTTGTTAATGATGTATGCTTAAACATGATATAATATGGTCATTGTAATATTCAAATTTATTTGTTTTATTATTTATTTTTAAAACCTTTATTATGATGATGGAATTTCTGAAAACTTTTGGCTGTTTGTAATGGAATTAACTTCAATCTTGTTTTTCATGTTCAGGTCATGGTAAACCTCCATGTTGTCTTCACAATGAACCCATCTTCTGAAGGACTCAAGGACAGAGCTGCCACCTCACCTGCTTTATTCAACAGGTATTTGGGATAAACACATCTTCCATATTCATTTTGTAAATTATTAAATTATTTTTTAAATTGGTATTGTCAGCTTATAGATACTAATTAGAGATTTAATACTTGCACTTGATTTTAATTGTAACAAATTTTCTTGTCAGTCCTATAAGTAGACATATTACTAATAGAATAAAATGATAAATTTGTGCCATTTTTAAATTTATTGTACAAAGCATGAGCTCAGGTGGTACATTAGGTTTTTGTCGTGAACCTTCTTGTATTGCTCTGTCCTGGCTCCAGGTTCTGATCTTGATCCCCCTAGATTTCAGGTTCTGTCCTTACTTTGACCTAGGTGTGACACTTATCACAATGCACCATGAGAAAATTGAAAATTAAAGATTATATGTTGCTAAAACCGAAGAAATTATGGGAAAAATTACTTTAGAAGTCTTGTTTCAAAAGAGTATGTTGTTGCAATGCACAATTCCTTGAGCACTGGGTTGGTAAGGATAATAAATGAACGTGGGAATTTTGCTAATTTCAATTTAGTATGGGTTTATTGACCAAGTCGCAGCCAGACAAACAAATTTTCTTAATAAGTGATGTTCTGAAATAAGTTTTTTTTTGTGACATCCATAATCAACTTTAGATTAGGTCAGAAATTTCATTGTTCAAGTCAATTTAAACTCATGAACCCCAGCAGTTTGTGCAGCATGTCAACCAAACAATCTTTTGCCTTTGTGACAAGTCTTCTGGCTGCTAGTAACCATTGGACCATTTTCCTGTTTATTTGCTTTTTTCTGCAAATTAAAAAAAATTAAATGCTAAATATGTCCTAAATAGAAGGAATTGGGGAAAAGGTTACCATAGAAGTCTGACCAAAAGTCATTTGTGGAGATTTTGAATTTTACCTTAGGTTTGATTTTTGACCTAAATATGTATCAAGTGTGCTGCACTTTTTTAATGAACAAATTTAATGGCAGTATGACATTAAGTATAGTCTTTTCCATATTTAGATATTTTATATGATCTTTAAGATGTATAATATGAGGAGTTTTGATTTGGATGAGTTTGTTTTGTTTCGAGGTGGATGAGTATGGCATTGAAGTGAAATAACAAAGGTTGTGGAATTTGCTGTTGACCAAACTGGGTTTTACAGGTTTTAAAAGATTTACATATTCACAAAACAAAGAATAAGATGTATGTTGTCAGTTCAAAGCATTCAGCTTGGCCTTGGCATGGTGGCAAATGGTTAAAGGAAAAAATAAGAAAAGGGAAAGACCTCCTTAAATGAAAACTTTTTGATTTATTGAATTTTTTAAATGCTTTTGTCAACAATGTCTTTTTTTCAAATTCATTAAGTCTGTCTCCCCAAACAGTCCTTGTAAGGAGGGGATTTAAGTTTTGTAACAGGAGTTGATTTAACTGCTATGATGTTTACACCTGTTGAGAAGCTGTAACTAGTCCAGTGTTTTAGTTTCTGGCCTTTATGGATAAGATTACCCTATTTAATATCCAATCACATCAGTCTGGGTTGTTTGTTCTTGGTTGACAGGTATAGGGACTAAAAATACATTGCTATAACAAGATGTAATGCCTAAAACTTTGAATGAGAAAAAAAGCAAAGCAAAATGACAGAGAATTTAATTTTTTTTCTCATATAATCTCAGATTTGGAAACTATATTGCTATAATTTAGCCTTTGGTTCACTACAAGGATTGACAAAATTAACAAAAAATTGTGAGAGCCGTTTATGACCTTGAAAGAATGATAAGTCCACAGTTTCACTTACTGGATAAGAGATAAAGATGCTATAATTTAACCGTCAGTGTGGTTTATTGCCACATACAGCAGATAACATGGCTGCAAACATACCTCCATCTAGAGAGGATGGCATTCCAGACCTTCGCAACTGCCCTAAATGTGAAAGACGTATGACTGCGCCAAGACTTCTTCTTAGTTGTTGGCATATTTTGTGTGAGAGCTGTCTTGCCGATGCCATAGAGGGGAAGGAGCCTGGAGAAATCTTTCAGTGTTTTGTGTGTAGTAAAAGTGTCCCTGTGCCTTGGGATGGCGTGGCTGAATTTCCAGTGCCTTTGTTCCTACAGTGTGAGCCAGTACCCTCCACCACAGATGTCACATGTTATCACCATTATGAAAAGAAGGTGACCATGTACTGTAAGAAGTGTGACACAGCAATATGTCGTTCGTGTTTGCTGACAGAGGACTGTCACAAAAACCACCCCTGTGTAAGTTTTAGGCTATCTTTTGATGAATTTAAGAAGAAGAAGGGAGAACTCGTTGAACATGTTCAGAAACTGAATGCGAAGATCCAGGAGAAAAATGATACCCTTATTGAGCTTGACGGCCAGAAGAGAGAACTCGCATTGGAACAGGTTGACGCAGAAAGACAAATTGAGACTGATTTTCAGCAGCTTGTTGATTTAATTTATAGACTGAAGGAAGAAAAAAAGGATGAACTTCGTTTCAAAGTTAAGGTTGAACGAAGCTTTCTTGAAAAGAGACGTAGAGATGTAGTCAGCTCTAGAAATGAAATGGAAATGATTAATCAATTGGCTGTTGAATTGATGAAAAATGGAACACGCAAAGAAATTATGCTGCATGCGAATTCAATTTCTTCTGTTATGGGTTCTCATGAAACAGAAGAAAATGGTACCATTTTCAGGAAAGATAAAGTTGAATATGTCCTTCACAACCATTCAGAGCTGAAGCACACAATTGGGAAAATATCTGGAGGAACAACTTTCCATAGTGTAACTGGATTGAAACTAGTAGCAGAGTTTAGTGCCAAAACTGAAGTAGATAAGAACACTCCAGACATAGCGGCCTTGGCAGTTGACAATGCCATGAATATAGTTGCACCGGATCGGAAAAACAATAACTTGAAACTTTTTGACAGAAGTGGTAGATTGGTGTCAGTGTGGTCAGGTGATGGTGAACATCAGTTAAGGTGTCCTGCAGGTGTGTGTTGTACCAGTGGTGGAAATATAGCAATATGTAACAAGGGCAATGAGGAAATATTGTTCTTAGATTCCCAGCAAAGAGTCGACAGAACTCAAACAGTTAGCATAGGTGACTATAAATGTACAGGTGTCGTCTTTTCAAACGACTATGTTGTGTGTACAGCAGGTACATTCCAAGTTAGGCTGCAGTCTTCTTCTGTCCCATCCTGTGTGGTGGTATTTAGCAAACATGATGGTAGGGTAGTGAGAGAGATAAGAAAAGGCAAAGATGGCAGTGATCTTTTTAGCTGTCCTTATGGGATAGCCTTGACCAAGCAGGGAAATCTGGTGGTGACAGATATTGATAAGCACTGTGTCTATGTACTGACCATGGAAGGGGAGGTATTACACAGGTATGGTAGGCCAGGGGAACCTTCAGAGGGGGATAGCTTTTTAAAATTCCCATATGGTGTGTGTGTTGACCAGTTTGGTCACATATTGGTCACTGACAAGTACAATGACCGTATCCACATGCTGTCTGAAGAGGCTAAGTTTATATGTCATTTGGTCACTGGGGGGAATGGTCTGGTAAGACCCCAGGGTATTGCCTTAGACCAGGAGGGACATCTTATTGTGTCTGAAGGACTTACAGGGAAAATCAAAGTTTTTGATTACCTTATTTAAGTCAGGTGATGAATATGAATTAGGCCCACCTCACATCAACTGGAACTTATTTCTATATGGCACCAGTTTGTTTGGTTCTAAAATGTTATAATGGCATGGGGGTGGCAGGGGCCCTCCCTTTCACAATATAATATGTAACATGACATTGTACATGCGTGATTTGAAATCAGGTGTTATGCCTTGGCTGCTTTCGTAGTATAGATGGCATAAAGTGTAGATATCCAAAACTTAGTTTTGCTAAATGGGTATGATAATCTGCAGTACATGTAGTATTAAAGCTTCTTTTGTGTAAAGTTAGGATGTCAGTGCATATGAAGACTATTGACTGCAGACTTGAACATGTAATCAACTGCAACATGTTAATTGCATATATTTTATTCCATTGTATACATACAGTATGTATTTCTTTCAGCAAATGTCAGGATTTCTGCCAAATAATACTAACAGTTTGGCTTTATCTTTGGCCTATGTTTGGTGTCTGGGCAGAAATGATCATTTTGCACAGAAACATTTGTTAGAGATCTATCACAATAAAAAGAAAAAAATCACAAAATTGCTGTTTATTTATTTATTAGTACCACCAGCGTGTACGCTGGCGGTACTCATGGTTTTAGTCCCGACCCGTCTCGTACAGCTCCGCCGGCTCCGCAGTCGGGCGCCGGAAACAAGTCACCGTTACCGCTTCCTCCTAGACCGCAAGGACCTATGTCCCCATCTCTTGGATTTAGGTCACATATAATCTCAACTTGAACACCCTGGTTTTTTTGTCTTTGTCGGTGCATTGGTCTGGGCG